AAATGAAGCCCCAAAGGTTTATCATCAGTTTAAAAAATTGCTTAGGTTCTTATGAATTTAGCATAAATTAAAAAATTAACTATTTAAAATTTAAATTAATTTTACGTCACGTACCTATTTTTTAGGTAGGTACTCTATTTTTTACTAAAGTTAAAATTTTAAAAGACATCTGTTAATAACTAATTTGTATTATAAAAAAATAATATGTAGTGGGTATTTTTAATTTAAAACAAGTTGTGGGTATTAAAAATAGAAATTCCCAAAAAGTGCTCTGTGACATCCTACAATGTTGCCATATGTAATTAGATTGTTCTTCTTCAAACTATTTCTTTAATATTTGTTATTACAAAAAAGGTTTCATTTTTACATTCATGAGTTTTCTCCGGAAACAAGCAGTTTGGCATCTTGACGATATGGACTGATGTGATTTTTTATTTCATAAAGCAACACATCAGTGGCAGGGAAATATCTAAATTCCTATATAGGTACCTATAGGTATATAGAGCTCGATTTTTTTGTGAAGAGCACATTTCGTCATAGCTATGCCACACTCAAAATAGCTAAATAAATGCAGCAAGTACAAATAATAAGTAACACTAAGCTACTGAATTCAATTTGTATGAGCGGTGATGAGCGGCAGGTGGCTTCAATCACGTTTAAATCTGTCTGACCACGCCTACAAACTCAAATTGATTTCTGCACAATATGACGAAGTGTGCTCTTCACAAAAAAATCGAGCTCTACTACGACGTCTTCCCAAACCCGCGTAGGTATTCACCAAAAGTGCAAGCACGAACAAATAAGAGCGAGAGTGTATTTTTCATTTATAATCGAGGTATATATTCACACCACGATTATGAATAAAGATGCTCGCTCGCTTCTGCTTGTTCGTGTTTGTTCTTTACTCTTCAGGGTAGCTAATCACTAAGTCATGGGAAAGCTCCCATGGGAGTGTTCCCATATATTTTGCTCTCTTACTCTTAGGTGGGTATATCGTGCTTACTCCGACCTAACTATGCATGTACCTGGGCATGTACCTCGACCAAGGAGCCACTTGAAAAATTATTACAAGATACGGTCATAATAGAATAAGATTTCAAACTTCCGCTGATAGAATGTTATGTTGAAAATGGGGTGTTAATACACTGCGACCTAAAAGATCTATTGTGCCCCCTTCTATCGCCAATGCACTAGGGAAATGTCTCAATGTCTATAACGACCCTTCCAATCCTATTTCCTCAAGGAATTGTAGGATTTGAAGTGGCTTCAAGTTAGGTAAATCTCCCTCTTCTATTTGATATCCTCCTAGATATAGTGCCCTTGGATTCTGGAGTGCTACACATTCAGTTAGGATGTGAATGGAGGTTTCGTCCTCCTCCTCACAGAATCTGCACTCACAATCCTCTATTACTCTCAGTTTACTTAGGTGTCCTTTTAGTCGGCAATACCCGGTAAGGATCCCTGTTACAATACGTAGCCTGTTCTTGCTCAGGCAGATGCAGGCTTCCGATCTTTTCTGGTTTTATTCACCCAGAAGTATCTTGGCCTGTCTCAGCCCCAAGAGATTGTTCCAGTTATCGGTTCTTCTACTGCCCAATTATTTTTTAATCTCTCCTAATATTATGTTACTGCTGATGCCGAAGAACGGCTCAGGTCCTACAAAGGGTGTTTGAGCCCCTTTCCTAGCAAGACTATCTGCAATCTCGTTACCCTGTACCCCGTTATGTCCCGGGACCCAAGTGAGAGTAACTCTATTTTTCTCGCCTAGAATCAAATGAAATGTAATAGATTTAATTTGTCGATTTTTAATGACCAATTCTATTAAAAATATAAAAATATATATAGATTGTATTATCTGGTAGGCTAAATAAATAATGACCTAAGATGGACGTCCACGGGATGTCAAAATATTACTAAACTTACAATTAAGTCCAAAAACAAACGTCCTCTGGACATCGAAATGCTGTCAAATTAACGTACACTGGATGTCCGAATACGGATATGGACGTTCTGGCCCTCAAATGGATCTAAAATGGACGTCAATTGAACTATGTGTGTTGTCTGGGTAGTTTTCAGGTTAATAAAGACTTGTTCTTGATTGACAAAAACTCGGTAACAAATAGGGTTGCCAGACGCGTCCCGCTTTGGGCGTAACTGTCCCGCTTTTTCATGCATGCTGCCAAAGTACGAAAATGCCCAGATTTTTACCGAATTGACCTACTTTTCACGCAAATGCCACGCTTTTTACCCTAATGCCACGTTTTTTAAACCCAAAAATATAAATAAGGAAATTTTGGAAGAGGTAAAGCTCCTCAAAAAAATTTAAACGAAGGACCTTTTTATACCTACATTTCCACAAAAAAGACATGATTTTATAAAAATGCCTGTTTTTTAACCTGATCCCCTGTCGTCACCGTTGTTCCGCTTTTCCCTTTCCTAAATATGCAAACTCTAGAAACAAACTATATATAAAGTAGATAAGTATGTAGTATGAAGCAAATGCAAACGCATGCTAAGACACTTCTAGCTACTTTCTTTTAGATTTAGATACAAACCACTCAATCCAGTCTGCTATCCTCTTATGTGTAGTGTTCATAAATGGTCGTAGGAAAACATTTGGTAACTACTTGTGAAACATATATGTATGTACTCAGTTTTAGTGGACGACCTACTCAAAATATTGTCCAAAGAAGGTTACCATAGTGCTTGGGTTACGTAGCAATTATCGCCAGGGGGCGATTTAAAGGCATAGTCTCGGAGCGATCTCAAACAGCTCTAATAACCCAGGCAGCAGACACGTCATTATGACATCTTATTTTCGTCATATTCGACGACATTTATCCTCTGAAAACTAACGTGATGATGACGGTAAAATGATGTGAATATGTCACAGCTCAAATGACGTCATATTATGACGTTCTTTTCACGTCTAAATATGACGTCTTTATGACGTTTCTTAGTAGTATTTACGAGCTACAATAACTCTAGTAAGCTATAGAAGAATATGTGGAAAAAACTGGGGCCTAAGCCACAAAATAACCATATGATTATACACAAGGCCGATAAGACCCATGATAACCTATGGCGCAGTAGCGTGGGTAACCAAAACTGCACAGGTAAGTGCAATAGGCCAACTCATCGACATTCTGCGGCTCACCTGTCTGAGTCCCACTAGAGCCATATGACGTGTACTACACCAACTCCAGCAATGGACATACAAGGAGAATCCAGGTCGGTTATTCTCAGGCTATATGCAAGGACAAAACCCAATAAGCCATCTACAAAACGCTTAACCATACGAGGCTATACCAGCAAGTAAAAAAGGATAATATTCTAGGTATGCCTACTGATATAGCCATAACCGCATACATATTTGAAAGAAATATTCAAATTCAAATATTAGCCCGAGAATTCTGGAAACAGAAAACTCCCATGCAGGCTGAAATCGTCTAGTATACATACGCTTCAAAAAACAACGCAGGAGCCGCTTTTGGAATCTTTAGACAAAAGTCGAAAACAATGATTTCTACTAGGAGAATATGCAACAATATTGCAGGCTGAAATAATAGCCATAAATACTGTGCAAGAGAAATAATAAATTAGCAAGTATTAGGCAACACTATTGCCATCTATTCTGATAGCCAAGCAGCTCTAAATGCAATTCTCTCACCAGAAATCAAATCACGACTAGTGAAAGGTTGCCTAGAAGACTTGGCAGAGCTAAGTAGTCAAAACAAGGTGACCCTAGCCTGGGTGCTAGGCCACGAGGGATATCAGTAAAACACGAACTAGCTATAGAGAAGGCTTAGACATAAGGCCATGACAGGCCCCGAACCCTTCTGTGGAGTTGCTAAGGCATTGTGCAAGGCATCCATCAAACAATGGAAATGTGGAATAACTATCCAAGATTGAGAATGTGGCATTAATCCAGCAGAAAAAGCAACATTGTGCAGGTTCTGTAAAGAAGAAAAGGAAACATCAATACACATCCTGTGCCAATGTGACGGCCTGGCTAGATGGAGGTTTCTAACATTAGGCGAAGAAAAGCTAGACGCATGGAACTATAGGCCACTGTCAAGACTACTAAACAGATAGACGACATACTTCTAAATAACGGAGTCCCACAATAGATCTGAAAAGGTCGAAGTGGACTCCTTCCAAATATAATCTAACATTGATATTGATCTTAGTCTTTCCTATGTGAAGCATATCGTCGCTGGCAAAGGGACGCAAGTCAAAAAATGCCCAATTTGAATTTAAGACCACCACAAATCGGTTAAAGTGGATATCTATGATGTGACCAAGAGACGTATCTCTCCTCCTTATAGTTAACATAATATGGCAAATTAAATGCACCAATATATACATATGCAATGTACATACACATACACTAAAAGTTTATTTGCGTCTCCTGTAAAATAGCTAAATTGGTTGTTATACCTCTTTGGGGTCTATTCTGTAAAAATTGCTTTATATTTAACGGCCTTTAAAAATATTGGCGACCTTTAAAAATATGTTTGTATTCGTTAATTTACTTCTGTCATTATTTAAACAGATTTCTTTAAGATAGTCCTCTAATGTATTTTAAAGATCCGTTTAAATAATGACAGAAGTAAAGAAGAAAATATTTTTAAAGGCCGTTAAATATAAAGGAATTGTTACAGAATAGACCCCTTTGTCTTTCCAGCGACGATATATTCCTTTTTTTGAGCAGTGTATCTTTAGCAAGAACAGGTTATCCGAAAAATACTTTTTCTAGAATTAACAGTTTTGGTGTTTCTTAATTTCATGATCAGTTCGTAGAAAGTGAAGATTCCATTTTTTAAACGACATTTGGCAACATTGGCGAATTTTTTATAACAAAACAAAGACATCTCTGTTCCGTGCCGACAACTCATTAGGCAACTTTTCATACAGTTACGAGTAAATACTGTTGCCTGCAGATGAGGATGATCTTTTTATGTATCTTGGCTTGAAAGGAATGCATTCGCAAATATAAATATTACCTCATACCTGTCTTCCCCCCCTTTTTTTCTTGACCTTGTTTGTCGAGTTTCGAATTCCAGTTCTATAAATTTATTCATTTCAAATTCAAACCAAACAAAAATTCGTACTCGAAGAAAATCTGTATTAATATACCTACCTAAAACAAATTCAAAGAACTGTGATCGACTATCAAAGTAGTGTTTAATTTTGTTATTTCTAAATGGCGAATCCTGTCGTAAAACCTGTAAGTTGGCCAATTATAAAAAAAGGTATATGTATCTAATGCTGTTATTTTTTAAACTTTAGGAAGTTCCCTATAATGGGAAAATTCCTGGAGGATTGGTACCTGGAAGAATGTGTAGAATTCAAGGAGTGAGCCATCCTGAAGCTGATAGGTTAGTATATGGCTAAATGTTTGTAATTGTTTTTAGAAATTAAAGTATTTTGAATGTCAATTTCTTGCGGAATGTACTCATTTCTCAAAATAGTCGCAGATTCATAACTATGAGTTATTTAATAATTGGTTATAACATGACCTCAACTTGATTACACTTAATTGCCTTGAAAATAATATATTTTGTTTACAATAAATGAAAACATGGAACACCTTTTGGAAAACAATTATGGCAAAATCGATTAATTAAATAATGCGGCAATATTAAAAATGCGCTGGAAAACTGTACTATAAACTGCAGTAAAAATGCAGTGCCAATTAATTTTTTTTAAGTTATCATACATATAATATCATCCATATAGGTATCATACATATAATATCATACATATAATATACATATAATTCATACATATAATTCTATATTAATTGGTGTTTTCCAATAAAAGAGAAGGTATGTCTAATATTTAAATATTTGCAATACTTTGTATATATATATATTTTTAGTTACCTAAGTAGGTACCTATTTGTTTTTTCATCACAATGCCTTTATTGCTCTTTAATTTTGATTCTGGTAACATGTTCTGACTGGCTCACTGTTTTCTCCAGCGAGATAGAATGTAGTGGAGATGACATAAACACTATTTTGCGATATGACAGATGGACGATGCCAAGACTGATGCAAAAGTATCATCAAAATAGCGATTTAAGAGTCTTACTTTGGTTTATTTAAAGGCAATAATTTTATATATGAAGATTAATGAAATGAAAATTTTGCTATTTTAAAAAAATAACATTTATTCTCACTAAAACTGACTCTCCACTAGCTCAAGTTTGACACATGTCCTAAAAGTCTAATGCAAAGGTATGGAACTTTTAGTATTATCATAGCATCTCCTCTTTATTCTATCTCAATGGTTTTCTTTTACAGTTTTTTTTGTCTTAAGGTTGGCCTTTGTCCATGTTATGTTGGAAATGGGATGTTAATACACTGCGACCTAAAATATCTATTGTGACCCCTTCTGTTGCTAATGCAGTGAGGAAATGTCTCGATGCCTATAACAACCCTTCCGATCCTATCTTCTCAAGGAAGTGTAGGATTTGGAGTGGCTTCAAGTTAGGTAAATCTCCCTCTTCTATTTGATATGCTCCTAGTTATAGTGCCCTTGGATTCTGGAGTGCTACACATTCAGTCAGAATGTAAATGGGAGGTTCCGTCTTCCTCTTCACAGAATCTGCACTTACTATCTTTTATTACTCTTAGTTTATGGTGTCCTTTGAGTCGGCAATGCCCAGTAAGCATTCCTGTTACAATGCATAAGTAGCCTGTTCTTACTCAGGCAGATACAGGCTGGCGTTTGTCCATGCTAATCTTCCATATATGCAGCGGTTATTTTAAACATAGCCTTTTGGAAGAATATACTTCCTGCCATTATTTATAATATTGAAAATCAAATGTGCCTACGGGGTTGAAGTTTTATAAAAATGACTTTTACTTTTGTTATCTAAACCACATGGAATCATTTATTTGCCTACAAACTTCAAAATGATGTTTAGTTTTACTGAAAGCCAGATTTAAAATACCTATCACATTTTTTTTTATAAAAAACAGTTATTTAATATATTTTAAAATATGTTTTGTATAATTTTGTAAAAAAATATCCAAAAATTGTCTAGAAACAGTTCCCGAGGTTTGGCCAGATACAGCCTTTTCCAGTTTTCTTGTTTTCATTCCATTCCTTGTTTCATTTTATTCTGTAATTGTTATTACTTTTGTTTCGTTTGAGCAGTTGTTAAACATTTTTAGTTTTAACGGGGTAGGTAATTTTGTTCTGTTGAATTCATAATATTTTTTTTTTTTGCCCTTTGTTGCTATAACTACATCAGTATTTCCATTGTCTGCCCAAATATTCACCTTTCCAAGTGTCTCGCCATTTATTTGACTTCTACTGCTGGTGACAATGATAATTCATCCTCCAGAATTACTTCTATCCTTCTATTGTATTTATGTTTTCCCTTTAATTACATTCACATTTTTTTCAGTCTTTAAATAAATTCATTAAAATCCATTACTTCTTAGTTCAATTTTATAATTAAGGTGGTTTATAGTAATAGTTCTTCGATTTGTAGGACATCCTCATTATTTAAGTAATTTTTTTTCTACATAGTATACAACTTAATCAAACTCAACTTAAATATTATTAAAGGTTTTTGAATAAATAAAAAAAGCATCTTGTATATTTTCTAGTACTAGGAAAGCAGTAATAAAAAGTAAGTAATATTTTTTAATTATCCTATTCATTTTGTTTTCAGGTTTGACATTAACTTCCAAACAGGTCCCAGTTCAGATCCTCGTGATAATACAGCTTTACACCTTTCTGTACGCCACAATCAGGGTTACATTGCAAGAAATTCTTATAAAGATGAGGAATGGGGTGATGAAATGGGAGATGGAGATCTTCCAATTGGTCACACAGAACCTTGGGAAATTCTGTTTTTAGTAGACAAAGATGACTACAAAGTAAGTAAAATTAAATGTATTTTTCCTGGGTTAACTTTATATTTTTTATTGTTATTATTAAAATTTATTTATATTTTTAATTGCCATTTTACCTGTTTTTACTTCCCTTTGTTTAGTTATATTTTATTTTTAGCCTTTTAATAATAATTTTGAACTATTTTAGATCATTAAATAAAACATTTCTTAGTTTAAAATAGTGTAATAATCAACGTTAAATTAAAAAAAAAAAAAAAAATTTCTGTAATTTTAAATTAGACCAATTTTTATTTTACTCTCAGTATTACATCATTATCTCATCCCACTTTTGCAATTTATTTATTTTATAAAAATCTTTCATTAAGTTTGCAATTTTTCTTGCTCGCAGAGTAAAGGTAAGAGGCCCTTTTAATCAGCTGTTGTATTTTTTGCTAATGCAGAAAAACGTGATGAACTGACAATTTATTGTCACAAGTAGTCTTTTAGCTGCATATCTGGATTTTTCAATAGCTAAAATGAGCCATTCAAAAATCACTATTGTGTACATTTTCGGCATTTGACATGTTTTGTTGTTATATTACATAAAATAACTCTTACCAATTAATCAGTAATGTTTTTTTTTTTTTTTAAATGGACTGTTCCACAAAAATGTTTTTAAAGTATGCCTTGGAAAAATTAACATATGTCGAGCGTGCAAGTCTTTTTTTTAAGGGTCAGTTTGAATTTAATTCATGGCCGTGTATACTAATTTTTGTTGGTAATAGCCCACTTTAGATACATTTTTTTTGTGAGTTACTGCTATTAGTATAATTTGAATATTTTGGTCAATTTAAAAAAAAAAAAGATTTGGACTGCCTAATTTTTAATCAATGAGATACAAGTGCAAAAAATTGTTTTATTATCAATAACTTATAAAACGAGTTCTGTGTAGTATGTTTTTTAATTTGCACAATTTTTAAATTATTTTTCCAATTTGGACCCCTAACATCTCTATTAAAGCATCCAAAAGAGTATTTTTATAACATTACTTTTTACATTTCCATTAAAATATTAATTTCAATTCATCATGAAGGTTTAATAACAATTGCTAACTAGTAATCATAGACAATTTAAATTGAGATAGTTTAAAAATTGCAATAAAGTGATTCATATTATGTTTGCAGTTTCACATTTTCTTGATTGTTGAACAATTTTTCATTTCATCATTAATTCGAAAGGAAATAAACAATTTGGATAAGGACAAGTCTAAAGATAATACATTTTTTAGATTATCCCACACTATGAATTATAATAATTATTAGTTTTCAAACAGAAAATTCAGTTTCTGGTATAATTTTTAAAGTGGTCAGAAACTGCTAATAAATAATTACGAGCATGGGATGAAAAGTTTCCGGCCTAACCTATAGTAGGCCCGATTTGCTTTCCTGTTCCAATGTGTCTGTGTAGCCTTGCTTGTCATCAATAGGCGAGTTCGGTCAGTCAGGGGCTGGAGCGGGACAAATTTTAGGGTGCTTTTAAATGACATTTAAGCGTGTTAAACTGTCACTAATCGGACTAAACCTAACGGTAAAAGGGTCGTTTGGAGTTAAAAGTGTTAAAGGAGTTAAAGGAACTTGGCAGACCGAACGCAATGAGATATGCTCGAAGTTTAAAGTGAGTGCACAGACATCGATAAAGGAGATAGGAAATGTCATTTTCATCAGGCACGTAGAATTGAAGGCGGCCATCTTTAAAAAAAAAGCGACCCACGCACTTGCGCATTGATTGTATATTGAAGTGTACAGGATAGGACTACACATTTAAACATAATTCGAAAATATTAAGGATTTACTTACACAGTAGAACTAATAACCTTAAAAATTCGTAATAGAATTTTAATTTTCTTTTTTATGGATTTTAAGAGATTTCTAAAAATAAAAAAACATCATAGTCTTTTTTGAAACTTTATTTTAAATTAAATAAAAACAGAATATATTTAAAATACCAAATCCAAGGCCGTCATATATTTTGTAGCAAATAAATCTGGAATCACGTGATTTAAACAGAACTTTTACATTAAAAACTATCATTTTGTATGTAATTATTACATGGGAATATTGATTGCTCAGATCTTGAAAGTATTTTTTTAAAAACTTCAAAACTAAGTAATTCAAATATATTTGTAATATCGTTCCAAAGTACTATGGCATGCACTTGAGCATACATTAAGAATCATCAATCAAAATAAATAAGAGATTATGGGCATATTCCTACTAAAGAATATAGTAAATTTAAAACTATTATAAGAAACATGTAGTCAAATATTTTATTAAAAAAGGGAAATAAATACAAACTTTAACGTTTCCCTTCGAAAAACAACTACTTCTTTGGCTAATTCCGCAGCAGACATTGAATTATATCCAAAGAAAACAACAAAGTTAAAAAAATTCATATTTCAATATTCAAACTTTGATCTTGCTTACCATAGATAACGTTATTCTTGGACCGGTTTTGTCCTTATTAGGACTCATCAGCAAGGAATAGATATTCTCGATTTCGGTCACTAAAGGAATCTGAAAGAGCGGTAAATTCACCCGCTTACATGGACGGAGGTTGTGAGAGAATAAGTAGTAACAAAGCTTCGATTTTGCCAAGTGCGAAGGGTTTTACTTTTTGTCTTGTGTAATAAATACTACAGTAAATATATTATGATAACATTATGTTAATAAACTTAAAACATTTATATTACATTAGAAAATGGCACCAATAAATTATAAATAAAAAAAGCTATTGAATAAAAGTTAAAGGAACAAAAAATACAAATTTAGTTTCTTAAATTTTCATTGGTGTATGAACAATGTCTTTAGGGCTTTTATTAATCATGATATGTGAGTTTCCTATAAATAAGGGTAGATACTCATAATTGTGATTATTGATTTCTCGAAACAAGTTTTCATTTTAAACTAATTGAAAATGAACATTTTTTAGCAGGTAATTGATTATGTGATTAAAAATACTTTTTTTAAAGATAATTCGACAGTTTTACACTAGTACTTACAGCCGAAACTGTTATATTACCCCATTTTTTTCTAAAAATAATTTTCAATAATTTTTATTAGCTGTTGCGCTAGAAAGTGAATCTTGGCCAGCAGAATATTTTATAATTTTTTTGCAATATAAACCATGTTTTCTGAAATATCTAACCACCTAATTACATTCTGTATAATTATTTTCTAACATACAGTAATTTAACTTTTCCATCCTGGCTCCAGGAAAACGGTATGAAACACAATGCCATTGAATAGAGAGAAATAGAATAATATGAATGAGTGTGGACCGCAACAGCTCATGCTTGCCATCGAAAGGGTATGGTAAAATCAATTACTATCTTTATCGCTCTCACATCCAAATACAATTAAATGTATCATCTTTATTACGCCTGATGCGTCGGCTTAACATACTGTACATTTTTTGACAATGTGAACATCACTATATTTAAATAAATAATGTTTATTGAGCAACTATAAATACATTAGTATCTCAAAATGAATGAATTCGGCTGAGTCGTTTTTTAAATGATCACTCTTAAATTTACATTGTGTAAAGTTGATCTTTTTAGTAAGATATTGTGGAATTTTAAACATTAAAATTAAAAAAAAATTAAAAATAGATATTTTACCCTTTCCTGAATTTAGCTATTTATTTAACCTGCGAATGTATGGAGAAACATGATTTCTATAAGGAATATTACAAGTACATCTTATACAAGAATTTTGAATCTTCTGAAGTTTCTCTCAGTTATATTTAGTAAGAAAGTGGTAATAAACTATAGGTACTGTTGTACTTTTTAGTGTCATTTGTAAAATGTTGATGAGGTCCTAAAGAATACAATAGCCATTAAGATTCTTAATGTCATGGTACAAAAGTAATCGTAGTCTATATGAATGGAAATTTTTTACAGATAAAGGATTATTGTTCCATCCATACCAAGCCCTAGAAATAAAATGTAATTACATCATACAATTAAACTAATACTATTCCATATATTGCAGAAAAATAGCTCTCAGTGATATGTACTAAGTTTATATATTAACAGACAGTTTACATATTTTTCATATAAACCTATTACAAACTTTATAAAATAAAGTCTAGAACACCACTATTCTTCTTCGGTCACTGAATAAGATAACTGCTGTCAAAGGTTTTAAGTTTCTTTATATATTCTATTGCAGCTTATATTCCAGACATCCATATAGTCTCCGTTTTTTGAGACAAAGGCATTTTCCATTGAAATCTAAAAAGATTTCGAGAATTTAGTAAATCGAACAGTTTCTCAAATGTCCTTACAGAATTAATAGTAATGTTACTTAGTATTTGTAATTTCTAAATTCGTTTAAGTGTACAAACCTTCATGTCTTTCTCAAATCCATATGGGCCACTCTTAATTTGCTACCCAAACGTAACCTGTTTGTTAAATATAATGCAACAATTTTATATAATTAAAAACAATAATTTCGCCATTAGTTTCGACAATTATAGTAAGATTATCCCAGTTATTTCAAGCCAACTTAAGTATGTGACATGCATCTAAAATTATAAAAAATATACTTTTATCTATGGCAAATGCAAGAAATATGGAGTTGCAGTGTTAATATCAAAGTTGTATAGTCCATCAAATGATAATTAGGTGATGATAACTCCATATTCATGCAATTTTAGAAGAGCCTATAACGCCACATTTCTTCTTTCATTACCATCTAAACCCTTAATAAAAAATAACCAACTGGCAACTTCTATAATTCCTCGTTAGATTCTGAATTAATAATATTCGTTGAAGCTGAAGGTTGTAAATTTCTAAAAATAATAGGGATAATTAACAATTTTTTATCACTTTCTTAGAAACTATAAAAAGAAACAAATTGATAATTTTATGTATATATATTTACTTCATAACACTAATGTTATAAAAATCTTCAATTTTAGGCCTATTTATGGAAGGTATTGCATTATTTTTTTATTGTATCTATTCGTTTTGAAACGATTAA